TTACGAAATCAGTGGCAGACAAACTAACAGCGATCCAAACCCAATTCAATTACAACGCCCAGAACCAAATTTGATAAATAATCATAGTACAACCTCATTAATGTTTGGTCTCCACCTTCCAATCACAATGCACCATTAATATTCAATTGATATCCTTATATAGCCATAGTGTTTTACAATATAATAATCATATGACAATACAATAAGATAAGGACCACCAAATTACAAGTAACTCGATTCGGAGAACTAAGTAGATAACCCAAAGCATACCAAATTTGTCAGTTTAAGTTTACACTTTCATTAACATCATACGAATAATAATAATAATAATAATAATACTATATTCAAGCAACCATTAACATTGGCAGGGAATAGATTTCAATTGAAATTTGTTTACCTGCGATAGATCTTATCGTTCTCTCCTCTAAGGGTTTGTGCCGCAATCAGTTTGTGTTATGACTAAAAATTAATAAACTCCTTAACTTATTTTCCTATATAGGTCAGACTTAGGGTATTAAAATCAATTATGGACTTGACCCATTAACCAACTAATATAAATTAATTATTTCATAAATATTCGCCAACTAATAAATTATTAAAACTACCCCATTAATTTTATAATTATAGTTACAAATAGTCCAAAATACTCATTTACAATCTATCGAAAGAGTCTTTTATGCAATAAAAAGTTCTAGTACTCAAAACGACCAAAATGGTCGTTACAATAATAGAAACATTACTTCTTAAGCACCTAAAAAAATAAAGGATAATCAAAATATATAGCTCAAAATCCATTAATCTCCACATCTGGATGATTTCATTCCATCCTATATACAAGAGTCAAAAAATAATAACAAATAGATTATTAGTCCTAAAATGAATCTCAAAGATAACAAAACAAAATAATTTATCTAGAAGAAACAAAAATATGCTTTGACATATTAGCCTTACTTGCTAATTAAAAGTAATATATGAAATCATATTTGGAAAAGATAATGCACCTCAAAGCTTACAAATATTGTAACATGTCTGCCACTAATTCTCTAACCAAAGATGACTACAAAATAACACACAATTTTAGTGTGATTTTATAGTGTTAATATAACCTTCCACACTAAATAATTAGAGGTTATGAATATGAAAGACTTGAGAGGTTATGAATATGAAAGGTTTGGGAGTTATGAATATTATTAATACTGATTCAAGAATAGAATTTATATAATTGAAGAGGTATAAATTAAGAAGATGATTTTGTAAGAAAAAAATAATTGAAAGAAATAAGAAAAAATGCCAAGAAAAAGAGAAAGAAAAAAAATATGAGTGGAGGCCATAGAGAGGTGCCACATCACCTTCTCTATGTTCCTCCTTTATATATATATATATATATATATATATATTTGAAAGAAAAAAACAAGTAAGAAAATTTGAGTCACTTTTATCACATTAAAAATAGAGTAAATTTTAGGTTTAGCAAACATAAAAATCATATTTGTATGTTATAACTATAGTTTGTATAATTGCGCTCCATATCAAACTTTATATTTTATATGGCTATTAATCTGTATATTTCGGTATACATATACATAAAAAATATGGTCTATTTGTATATTTTAGTATACAAATGGGTCCTGCATTTGTATATTTTGGTATACAAAAGGGTCCTGCATTTGTATATTTCGGTCTATTTGTATATTTTGGTATACAAACAAAAGGGTCCTGCATTTGTATATTTCGGTCTATTTGTATATTTTGGTATACAAATGGGTCATGCACGTAACACCTCGCTATTTGAAAGAACTAGAAAAAATTAGAATTTGGAAGAAACCGTTTTTGGAAATAATCAAATTTGGAAAGTTTGACAAAATTAAGCTAAGGATGAGTTTTTGGTCAACTTCAAACGACCATAACTCCTAGCTCAGGATGAGTTAGGTGTGCTACAAGATACGGTAGGAAAGATCTTTGAATTATGTTTCCAACACTGCCAAGTTTTCTCAATTTAGAGTTCGTATGAGGAAGATATGCTCATTTGAAGTTGGGTTGTCTAGATAAGGAAAGTCAAAACGAGAATTTTTTAAGGGTATTATGGTCTTTTCACTACCCAAATAATTAAATTTGTTTTTTGGTAATTAAGTTGAGGTCTCAACTAATGGGATTCATTTTACGCTATTAAAATTAAGTTAGGGTTTTGAGAGAAGAGAAAAAAAGAGGAGAAAAAAGAAGAAGAAGAAGCAAGGAATCGCCAAGTTCTTGAAGAATTGCTTGTGGATTTCGCCAAGGGTTGATCCCTACGAGGTATGTGAGAACACATATCATTGAGTTAGTTCACCCACGCGCCAATCATGATTCAATTCAGCATAATTGTGTTCTTAAAAGAAAAGATTATGAGTTCTTGATGAAATTTGTTTAAGTTTCGTTTGAATCTTGATTATAAGTTTTGGAGGAGTTCTTAGGAGTGATTTGGTGAGATTTAAGGCTGTTTTGAAGTGGGTACTTGTATACTTTGGTTGTGTATTGGATTCTAAGCGTTTGAGAAAGAAACTAATTGAATTTAGAGGGTTTAGCGTTGAAAAACGAGCAAAAAAAATTGTCAAAAACCTGGGGAGGGGGCTGGGGTACCGCGCCACTCAGAGCTCCCCAAATAAATCTCTTAAGTTTGGGCTTCGGGGAGCCGCGCCAGCAAGTGCGCCCCAACCCAACTTCTGAAGTTTGCTCTCTGGCGCCCCGCGCCACTCAGAGCGCCAGGGACGCCAGGTCATATACCCTTTCCCACTCTTTTCCGTTTGAGTTTCCTAGCAACGTACCTAAGTTTTCTAGTTGATTTCTACACTCTAAGGTATGTCTAAACACCATGAAATCATCCATAAACATGAGATCATGAGCCTTGAATCCATAATCCAATTCAAGGAAAGTTAAGAGTCAAGTCAAAAGAAGTTCATAGAGTATTCCAAAAGTTTTTTACAAATGGTTTAACTTTGTTTAAAGGCTTGAGTTTTGAGTTGAGTAAGGAGTAATAGTTAAGTTCATTTCAGATTAACAGGAACTAAGTATTCCCAAGAGTTTAAAATGTTTCACATTTAAACAAGAAAGGAAACACCGATTTTTAAGAGAGCTTTTAAGCTAGTTTTTGAGTAATTACCTCAAACCACAAAAAAAGTTTTGTTTTAAAACATATGAGCTGAGTATATTTTTGGAGTTTAGTATTGAGCACCGATATGGGGACGAGTTCATAATAACTCAAGTCTTCATAAACCATGTAGCCATCATGGGTAGAAAGGGTCATACTTTTTAGATGACACCTTAATGTTTTTTAGCATAGACTAGTGGATCTACTTAGTTGAGGCGTTCTATATCACGGCAAGTTATATGACAGTTCTGGCAGAGTGGGCAAGACGTTGTATCATCACATTAGCTCATAGTGATGGTTGTCGGTGGGAAAAATCAATATACTTATAATGTCGAATCAGGATCAACTAGGAGAGAAATAAAGCATTGGGTCGAACTCTTATTTGGTGTCAAGGTAATAGCTATGAATAGTCATCGACTTTCGGGAAAGAGTAGAAGGTTAGAGAAACTCCCATAGAATTATATTACTTTATGATATGAGTAAATTGAGTTGTTATTTCGGTTTAAATGTTTTATATCAATTGCACCTTTACTGTTGTTTTATTTTGCATTTGAGTTGAGTAAAGCCAAGATAAATGATCTTTTCAAATTCATTTCAAGCTTATGTCATGTTTAGTTTTCCCCTCGTATGCTCGTACATTCAATGTACTGATGCCATTTGGCCTGCATCTTTTCATGATGCAAATACAGGTAATCAGGATGAACATCCAGCGCGACGTTGATCCAATTGAGCACTCAGAGTCAGTTGGTGAGCCTCCTTGCTTTTTGGAGGACCCGTTTTTACATTGTTTTCAGTATTTCAGTTGTTAGGATGATCGGGGGTTTTGTCCCGACATTCCTCATTGTTTTAGAGGCTTCATAGACGGATAGTTATAGTTCTCTAGTATGTCCATTTTAGTTGTTTATGTTAAGACAGTAAGTTGTCATTTTGGCTAGTCGAATGTTCTTTTTAAGACATTCCAAGTTATTGCATGAGTTATCTTTTGAGGTTGTTCCTTATTATTTAAGTCTTCTGCTACAAGTTAAGTCAGGCCAAGGGTTCGCTTGGGGCCATCAATGGTTCTCGAGTGCCAATCCCGCCCAGGGTGTAGGCTCGAGGCGTGACACTATATTTGTATATTTTGATCTGTTTGTATATTTCGGTATACAAATGGGTCCTGCATTTGTATATTTCGGTATACAAATGGGTCCTGCATTTGTATATTTCGGTATACAAATGGGATGGCAAAAAACATGGAATGTTTGCTGCGAATTACAAATAAAATAAACTATGACTATAACATTTAATTTGAATTAATAATTTGTTATTTCATACAATTTTCCTAAAAAAATATATGTGGACTGAGAGTAATCTTAGTTTAACATTAATTAAAACATATATGAATCAATAGTATAACAAAGGACAATATAACCCTTTTCCATATACTAATTATTTCATAATTAATTATTATGTTATTTAATTTTGATACTTGTTTGATTTATGAAATGTTGTGAATTAATAATTAAGATATGAAAATTGAGTTTGCCTTGACAATGATATGTGTTAGCTGTCAAACACATCTAAGAGGTATTTTGAAACGTGACAAACACATCGCACTTGATATTCATGAATGAAAGAGAGAAAGGGAAGGGGAATAGAAAAAAATTAAGCATAATCATTTAATATGCTACGAAAAGTTATATTACTACTATCTAATTGGTCCCCAAAATTAACCATTATATTAATCTACTTCCTATTATTAATGTTCCAATATTTTACCCACTTTCTTAACAAGAAAATTTAATTATTCCCTACACAATCCAATATCATAGAATAATCATAGAGAAAGTGCATAGACCCATCTTAAACTTTAAAAAAAATTCAAAATTTTTCAAGAAATTTTAAGTTTATGTACATTTATTCCTTCCCATACAACAAAACTTGAGTGCCTTATGTTAATATAAATATACATACAAAATGAGACACCTAAAATTTTAACAAAGTAAACATTGGTAGTAGTACTTTATCTTAATTATATATTTCAAACCAAACATATGTCTAATACATGACATTGAAAGGCAAATTTAATTATTTTATTTTTTAGAGAAGTGTCAAAAAGAGGAAGAAACCAACAAGAATGTTAAGGATTGCATCCAAACCAATTCTTACTCCAACACTCTCCAAACCAATAGGGAATAAACAATTATCAACAGAAGCATTTTTCTCCACAATTTGTGCCAATCCATCAAAAACACAAGATTCAACATCTTGACCATTCATTTGGAAATACATGTTGAATGCATATGAAACATTTCCATCTCCATCTAACTTGTTGCATGATCCTCCATAATCCACTGCTGTACAATCTGACCTCGAGCAAGCATATTGTACACTTGAAGGTAGTTTACCTATGTAACAATAACAACAACGTCTCAGTCACAAACAAATTAATTCAGACCGATCGATATATATATGTTGAAGTAGCAAAATTAACTGATTATTTAGGTTGTGATGGAAATGTAAGTACTCCTTCATCATTATTCAGAGATCTCGAGTTCCATTCCCAGGAATGTTAAGCATTGCATCCAAACCTAGTTGTGGTGGAGTGGTGATTAAGTACTCCTCCATCATTATTTAGAGATCTCAAGTTCTATCCCTAGGAATGAAATTGTTGTTGATAGAGTCTTTCCCGTACAACTCTAGATTAATCATAACTATGTAAGTTTCATAGGCCACTTGAGTTACTATGACAAGTTATTTGATCCAATTACAACATCTTAACCTAAGCAAATTCTGAACACATCGGATTATGACTCTTTATTAATTCGACCTATTCAGATCCACCCAAGTTTTACTCGCCCCAGCCATTCACCACCTACTAATTATCTAAATCATAAAAAAATGTAAAGTTTTCAAAAATAAATAAATAGAGAGTAGTAGATTAAGTTGAAAATTTTACCTATATCTTCAGCATATTTGTTCAAAACACACCATTTGTTCTCCAAATACTTAACATTTTTTGCACCAATAGGCATTGCCTCATGTCCTTGTCCTGTAATATCCATTGGAAATTTAGGTTTTCCATCATACCTAAAAATACCCCAATGACGTTCAAAACTTCCTGGTAAAATACTTTTTTCATTTTCATCTGTTAAACTAAACAAATAATATTCAATAAATCCAGGGTATAATGGTGTTCCTTTTTTTGTAGCCATTTTCTTAAAAAATCCACTATAAAATCTTTTGGCTAATGTAACATTTCCATATAAATCTCCATCTGTTGGCCAACCAATTTCACCAACAATTATTTTCACACCTGAACAACTAGCTTTTTTCAACGATACAACTAATGTATCCAAATTCGCATCGAACATATTAGTGTATGATATTCCATTGTCACGTACGGCCTTTGTTTGACCATCAAAAAATGCGAATTCTATTGGGAAATGTTTGTTTTCGTGGAGACTTAAGAAAGGATAAATATTTACAAGGAAAGGTGCGTTGTTGTCTTTAAAGAAACTGCAAATTTTTTGCATTAGGTCCCTTATGTCCGATCGGAAATCTCCCTGTGATGGACCCGAATTACCCGATTCGTAAACGTCGGCGTTTTGTGGGATTGTAGCTTTGATTTTGTCGCCAAGGCCAGCTGAATTTAGGGCTTTTTGTACATTTTGTAAAGCTGGAAATGTTGATTTCAAAAATGAACCATTGTATGATTTCAAAAATGGTTCATTTCCAACTGCCACAAACCTTCAAGAAAAAAAAGAAAAAATCAAAATTTGTGACGTAGCAATAATACATAAGTATACCCTTTAACTTATCCAAAATAGTTATTGCTTTAGAAAATCATGAAAACAAAATACATAAATATATTCTTTAACTTGACCTCAACTGTCCTCCAACTTTGAGTGTGCACAAATATACACTTAAACTTATACAAAATTGAACAAGTAGACACACATGTCTTACGTGGCATAATACACGTAGTACGCCACATAGAACACAAAATTGTCATGTAGGATATTACGTAGGTAGAATATGTCTATTTGTTCAATTTTATACAATTTTTTAAGTGCCTTCTTGTACACACCCAAAGTTAGAGGATATAATTGTCTGTTGAAGTCAAGTTAAAGAGCACGTTTATATATTATGCCAAATATTGGCATAATACATAAATATACCACTTAACATGGTTTCAGCTGACATCTATACCCTCTAATTTTGAATGTGCATAAATAGACACTTAAACCTATACAAAATTAAATACACACGTCCTACTACGTTTTTTCTCAAATCTAAGAATAAAGAGATCATAGGAAAATGCATGGTGGTGCTTACTTGATATCAACACCTCCATTATACAAATGTGTACTAACATTATTTTTCACCCATTCCTTAGCAAAATCATAATCATCAGCAAATTTTGCCAATTGATTATTTGGTATTCCAAGCATGACTTCAATTCCAGTACCAGCAAAGTACTTAACAGTCCAATGATCAGAATCAAATAATTTAACTTTATCAATCTTGTTATCTTTAAGCATTTGAACAATTGTTGAAGGGGGCAATGTTTGTGCAGCTTGTGTACCCCAATTAACACCAAGACCATATGCAAAACTAGTCGATAGCGCTAAGCAACATGCCCATATCAGCAACAACTTAATATGAGCCATTGCTAGTGCTAATCCACTAGCTTCTATATATGTACGTTGATTATATTCAATACGATAATATATGTTCTTCAGAAATATGGTGATTTTTTAAGGGAGAAATGTGAATGAATGAAGTTGAGACAATTTTATTTCAAAATATGAATGTATGAGCTAATGTTAAGGAGAGAAGAAAACGGACAAACACTAATTATTTGTTTTCTTTTTTTCTTTGGTTTTCCTACAAGTTTTCAAATTATGGAAGGGAGGAGTTTATGCTTTTGTTTGTTATACTAATTTATATTTTATGTGTGTTGACGATATATATAATTTGTTTTTACGTCATCAAGTCAAGGTAATGATATATATAATGATTATGTGATTTTTTTTTTAAATTGTAATATAGTATATTAAAGTAATAGTTTATTATAGTTATATAGTTGGGTGAATCAAACTCTACCTTCAACTTTGAATAATAGACGACATTCTTCTCCCCTTATTCTAATTAACTTTCTGAATGTCTATTTTGTCCTTAAATTGTCAATTTTTATCAATTTGTTTACTTATTTAAAATTCTAATATCTTTTTTTTCAAAAAAATAAATAATCTATGCAATACCTGCCCTTTTAGGTTGCTCTTAGTTTAGGCAGCCTACAAGACCTTTACTTTGAGGAGGTCATATGGACAATATCCTTATAATAAATTTCGAAAAAATTAATAATCAGTCTCAAGTCTTGTTCTAATTTGTCACAATCACTCTCAAACGAAGTGTCAGAAAGTATATATATGCTACTATATAACCTTTTAGTGCCAAGTGTTTAGTCTTTTCATGTTGAAATGACGATATGACTTTTTGACCTATAAAAATACTTCTTGGAGGAAGGGAGATATCGAAGAATTCCAAAAATAAAATAAAATACACTAGTCTTTCATCTTCTTCCCTTAGAATTTCTATGGAAAAAGTCTATTCCTTTGAGCAATATCTATTCTTGTAATCAATCATCGCCTTGGAGGTTTAGCTAAAAGAAAATGAACATGATCGACATTAACCTACTTTTTTTATTTTATAAATTGTATTATTAATGACAATTAATGACCATATTTTGATAAATAATAACCTTCACTTCGTCCTAAATATTGACGTGGCAAAAGTATATACACTCCTTAGATGCGTGAAAGTAAAGAAAAACTAAATATCAGCTTCCAAATGAAATTTCAAAAGGACATACAATTCATAAAAGACACCAAAAACGATAAAGGCGTAGGAGACCCATGCGCCTTACCCCATTCGCCTGTAACAGTGTCATCCGATAAAAAGAGGAAGTTGCACTGACACAACAACCTTGTAAGACACATTATGCCGTGCGCTTTACATTCTAATTATTTTTGAAACCCACCCACCATTCTCCTTTACATTCCAAATATTTTTAATTCTTCCCATAAATTAATTCCTCTTTTTCTTTTTATATATATTAACAAAACATAATTAAAATTATGGTTAAATTTTCTTATATTAACCAAAAATTATATCATTATTATTTTTTAGTGAAAAAACAACACATGCATTTGTTTTAGTACCCACCTGTTTAAACAGTTGTACTTTGCTCAGCTGTGACACGTACAATATAAGATAGCAATGGCTTTTCAAGAACCAGAAGCTAACAAAGAGAGGCTCCAACTCCAACTTCCCAAGAACTGGTAATTTTCCCCCAACCCCACTAATATTTTTGATTAGCTTTTGAAGTTCTCATTTTTATTTGCAAATGATATCATAAAAGGTCTCAAATTTCTGTTGGTTTTTGGTATTGGGTGAAGAAAAGAGAATTTTAAGGTTCAAAATGGGGCCTTTTGCATTAGCTTTGGATACAAAGAATTCTTTTGCAGCCTCCTCTTCTGCTACAGGTAATTTACAAGTGAACATTGTAAGTTTTGCCATCGTTTTACTTTTTCTGATTTTTCACCATTTTCTTTGGGTTGTTGTATAAGGAAGTAATGATTTGAGTGTACTGTTATGGAAGAGCCTAATTGTTTGGAGTTTGGACTAATATAAAGGGAAGATTTTTGGGCATAATTTGTCTTAAACTGACATTTTACAGTGTAGAAATGCTAATTTAGGTTTTTTTTTTTGGTGGGTGGATGGGTTGGAGGGATAACAACAACATACCCAGTGGAATACCACAAGTGGGGTTTGGGGAGGGTAGAGTGTATGCATACCTTACCACTACTTTGTGAAGGTAGAGAGGTTGTTTCTGAAAGACCGTGGGAGGGATAATGAATTCCAATTAATTGCTGGGTTAATGTATGATATATTTGGTTTAAGTTTTGATTGAAACTAAAGGTAGGTGCAGCTATAATCATATCCGGAAATTGCAAGGGTAACTGATATTAGTGATTCTGCTTGTGAGTGAATATATGGGAGTGTAGGGTTCCACTGGTCCCCTTTGTGGCTAAGAATGAGTACATGTCCAGTATAATTCCACAAGTGTGGTGTGGGGGTCTGGGGAGGGTAGAGTGTATGCAGACCTTGCTCTTAACTTGTAAGGGTAGGGCGGTTGTTTCTGGTAGATCCTCGGCTCACGAACAGATGAAAAGGAGGCAGTAACAACAACAAGATAATAAGATAAACAAACTGGAAGAAATAAACATGTAGTACTAGAGATTTAAGAATATTAGCAAACATTTTTTGGGTTGTAGGGACAGAAAGGAATCGGAGATGTTTTGATGGAATATCAGCTCCTAATCATTTCCTTATGTGGCTAAGAATGGTGAATAAAGTAATTATAATTTTTAAGGGATTCTAGTTGTTGAACATTGGGATCTCAAGATCCAAATTAGGTCACTAAACCAACTCAATTACTGGATTCAGTATTTATTGGAGTCAGTGTTTTTCGTACTAATATTTCTTGATATTTTAATTTGACAGTGTTGTCGTAATGTTGTTAAATTAAGTGTATGTACTTTGAATTACATATCTGATTGCTAATATGTACTGCTGCTTGTTGGTTTTGAACAGACGACACTTACTAGTGATAGTAGTGAAATATTTCTGTTAGTTACATTAAGGAAAACTTTTTCCTTCAGAAAATACAATTAATCAAGCAAAACTGTTTAGTGTAATGATAGGTCTAGCTTAATGGCTCAAGCATTAATGCTCAATAGATTGAATGGTGCTCCTTTTAGAAACACAAAAGTTTCTTTATATCAATTCTGAATACACTCAACTTTAATTGTTTAATGAGATTAACTATCTAACTACTCTTGAGCTGATGTCTTGAATACCAATGTGCACAAAGCAAGCATGAAATAGAGAGGTAGCAGTGATGGTTTCATTTGTCACCATTTCCATTATTAAAATGTTCTTGTCTCTTTGGCAAATTATACTTAAGAATAAGCTCTAGGTTTCTCGATGAAGGATTAAAGAATAACCATGCATTGCCCCATATTAGGATGTAGATTCATATTGATTCTTCGTCTTGTAGTTTCCGGTTCTTTCTTGAGGATGTGGTTTGATTTTGCAGATGCATCTGGCAGAAAAATGGATAACCTTCAGATGGTACCAAAAAAGTTCTTTGCATCAATCAACAATGAAGAAGAGAAACCATTTGATTTTCTACGGATACTATTTGGTATGTCTGCTGAAATAATAGTAATTAAATGATGATATTGGAGCATTCTTGTCAAGTCATCATATATCCTGAAGTTGTCGCTCTCTTTATTTTTCTTTTATTTAACGGCTGCTCCCAGCTTGCCCACAACCAACCTCCACCTCTAACAAAACACATCCTCCCAAAAAGAGGGAAAAGAAGGAATTAGGAAAGACGAATAAGAAGATCATTTCTTTCTCTCTACACTCTGCAGTTGACAGATAAGAACTCTCTACATCAATCTGGTTTCCCAACTTCCCCTTTCATTTGTTATTTTGATTTCATTTACAAAAGTACTTCAACATTTGTAGGTAGGAATTGAACAGCCACACCACACAGAAATTTGAATAGTAAAGTCTTTTGTCAAAAAGTCATTTTGACTACTTTTTTGTTATAGAGCTGGTATACCGGGGATTCTTCCAACATTAATAAGATCATTTACCTTATTTTAGAAAATGTTATTGTGTCACTAGTAAAAAATGTTCTTGAGTGTCAGCTGAGAATTCAAGTGATAAGCCTGTCAAATGGTAGAATGGTTTTTTCTCTGGAGCAACTTCGTGCTTAAAAGCTTATGATGGCATCATAATTTCTTTTTGACAAGGTTCATTAGTAGTAAAGGCTCAGTACTAAGCTAGTAGTGGGACAGAGTACATCATACAAAGCTGGATAGGTATATGATGCATCATGCTCCCAGGACTTAGTTCAGGTGGCAAAGGTTGAGGGACTTGACTTAGGTCACAGGTTCAAGCCCTTGCCATGCAAACTAAGGTTGGTATTTTAGTGGAGAAGGGTAGAGGGGCGGGCCTATTATCCCCTAGTTTTGAAGAGTGTGGTTGCTCCTAAGGATTAGATTTCTCGGTCATAGAAAGAAGGTGGTATATGATGCATCATCTTTATCTAAAAAAAGAAAGTATATGATGCATCATAATTATTTCATACTAGTTGGGCTACAGATATTAATAACATAGAGTTCCCCAACTGCTAAAAGAAAATATTTCAGTTATCAAAACTATCATAGGACAAGAATCTTTTGTTTCGAGGTTTGGCTTTTCTAATTGTGGTTAATTTGTGCAGAGGGTGTGATAGCAGGAGGGACCGCCGGTGTTGTTGTTGAAACAGCTTTATATCCCATTGATACAATAAAGACACGGCTGCAGGCAAGTTAATTGTTTATAACCGAAGTCTATATCAATTATATGAGTGATTCTACCATGCTTGAATTGGTATCTTTAGTAGCTTCACAATTCACAACAGGCTTTTTAAGGATTCTCGAGGCTATTAGCTCCTTACGTTGACAGACTGGAACAAAGAGATGAGGAAAGGGTAGATAGATAATTTAGATAGAGTAGAACTTTTGAAGTATTCATAAGTTCATAACTACATTTTATTGCGTAGTCCAGTTGACATTCCATTTGCATACAGCTGAGTAGTTATATTCAGGTTTACTGCCATTAAAA